TGCCCTTAAGAGGTTACTTACAGCTCTAAATCTACTAACCCAACCTCTTCATTTAAATGGATGAGTAATATGAGGACCTGAGAGGTAAAGGGGCTTGTGTACTTTGCATTGGAGGCTTGGGAATGAATACTTTTATCTTGCAAAATTCATAATTGCTTTTATGTTCCTTACCTCTGCCTCCTACCTCCTTCTTCCCCCACACCCCAATGTCCTAGATCCAAGCTAGACAGGGAAGAAGTAACAGCAAGCTTATTCTGGGACATATTGCCTTGGCAATAGTAACTCCTCTAGCCTGAAACCTCCCCCTACATCCCTATTTTCCACTCCGGTCTCATGGACCCAAGTCCTTCATGCCTCTCTCTCCTTCCCCCACCTCTCCCCTCATTCTCTCTGGACAGCGCCGAGCAGAGCGGATGTCTCAGATCAGGAGGCTCCTGAGTGAGAAAAAGACCTGTCAGTGTCCCCAGTAAGTTACAAATGGGAGAAGCAGGAAGATTCTGAAGTAAGGGTGAAGATGGAGCAGGGACTGAGGGATTTTTTAGGGTTCAGAATAAGGAATGTGGCCAGAATGCAAGAGAAGATTAAGCAGATGAATGCAAGAGAGGGTCCTAAGGGAGGGGGACTGAGGACCAAGAAGGGATACAGCGAAGGGATTCACAGTGAAGAGATCCAAGAATACTGGGAGGAGATGGGGGTGGGGGTGAGGGGAGATGTGTGTGCAGCAGAAAGAGGAAAGAAAGGACAGAACTTTCTGAATTGCCCTTAAACCATCTTTATTTTTTTCCCCTTTAGTCGTTTTTAGAAAAATGATAGCTTGAAGAGTTGAAGATGGAAGACTTGCCTGATTTGTGAAAATCCTCCATCCCTGTCTCCGCCTACTGGGAAGAGTAGGGAAGGTGACTGTAGGAGGATTGAGACATTTCGGCAACCTTGTCCTTCCTAACCTACCCCCTCGTGATAATCCTGGACATTGTCAGTGGGACCCTGCTCCTTATTCTGCTGCCCCATGATGCATCCTCAACCTGATCACTAAGTACTCCTTCCTTCCTCTGCCAGCCCCTAAAGGCCTCTGCATGCCATTTCATCTCATCTTGCCTTTGGGCAGGGGGCAGGATGACACCTAACTCAAACCAGAGACTGAGAACAGGATGTTCTGGATTTTCCAGCTTCTTATACCCCTCAGTCAGAAATGCTCTGAGTCTACACTTACTCCTCCTGCTACTATGCCCTGCTCTATCTAGTGTCCAGACAAACTTGTGGGCATGTACTCAGGGTGTCCCTATCTCCATCTCACCCTACCCAAAAGCCAAAGTAAATATTCATCCTCGTGGTAAGCTTCTTGAGGGCAAGGTCTGTCATATGCCTCTTTTTGTATCTCCAGCACTTAGCACTGTGCATGGCACATAATAGGCACATAATAAATATTTTTGATTGATTTGATTAACTGTCTTCCCTCCTCCCTCATGACCTTAGGCCCTTCATCAAGCTGATTGATCTCTCTTTCTCCTTCTGATATGCCAGACTATGGATACCAGTTGGGGCCCAGAGACAGGCCAGAATTATGTTTGTAAACTTGTGAAGAGGTCTGGCTTGGGTGCCTATATTCCTAGGTAGCTATACTTGACTCTGGGCCACAGTTCTCCATATTTCACCTAGCCTCTTCTCTCCTTTAGCTCCCTAACCCCCATCAAGACTGGAATTTGGGGGCTGGAAATCAATCTTTTCTTCCTGGATCAGTCTTCTCTCCATGCCCCCTAGCCTTTGTTTCCACCCTGGTCTCTATTCCTCCATCTCTTCATATATCCTTTCTCTTCTTTCCAGCCTGCCTCATTTAAGTGGCCTGCTCAGGAGTGGCTCAGGTAGGGCTCCCTACCTCTTCCATGGAGTGATATTTCCCTTCTCTTCTGAGTCAATGAAAAAAAGTTAATAAACAATACAAAAAGAATGATCTTCATTTTATTTTGTTTCCAGTTGGATCCTCCCCGTGGGCTTATGATGACTAGTGGCTTGGGCAGAATGCAGGAGGAACCTTTCTCTGAGGGCCAGGTTCTGCTAGGCTCAGGGTTAGGGAATAAATACAGGGAGCCCTCCCTGAAGAAGAGGCTCCTAGCCCCTCAGGAGCCAGGAGAAGTAGTCTGGGTCCTAGAGAAGGAAAAAGGGCTTTGATTGGCCAGAGTATTAGGGCACTGAGGGAAGATTCCCCAGGGAATCCATAGTTCATATAAGACCAGTCCAGCTTCCTAGGGGTGAGAACTCTCCATTGCCTTGTACCTTATCCCTGACCTTATTAATAAGGTAATTCTTCAATAATTCAATGGATTTGATCTCATCAATTGGGGTACTCCTTTCAATTCTATAGACCAAGGCTCATTCATACCTTCTAATCATAGGTAATTCTTGTTCATGCCCTTCCATAAATCTTCCAAAGAAGATCTCCCTAAAGCCCTGGAGTTCTTCTTCTAGGGCTTCCACTATTCTGAGAGGACCAGTGCAATGCTCAGGTTTTTCATATAATCCCTCACTCTTAATACAAATGACCAACTCATTTCCTCTTCTTATTATCTGTTTTCTGAATGATATCTTTCACATAACTTCTTGTACACAAGTCATTGTTGGTTATAACCTGCAGCCTGATTATGCCCATCATTTCCTTTGGGTTACTTGAAATTTTGAGGTTTTGGAGATAATGATGTTTCATGATTTGAGGCCACATAGAATTATATAGCATAACTGAAAAAATAGATTGTCCCATAATACAAGGTACCATTTTGATGCCTCATAAAGATATGGAGGCAACCCTTGGTTCTTGAAGGCTAATGCCAGGGAATCAGAAACTCTGGCAGATTCTACCATGTTGGAAAGTCTTTGATTATGGCTCTAACAATGGCCTGTTTCTGTTTCATGAGGACCAACCTAGCTCAGTACGCAGAGGCATATCACCAGCTACTTGTCACTTAGTAATGAATTTTTCATCATGGCAACCCATGAAACAAAGAAAAAATTTAAATAAGGCCCTCTTCCCTTCTCAGTTATGGTGGAAGAATGGTGAACAAAGGAGCATAAAGTACTAAGAAGAACACAGTTTCTAGAACATCTATAAACTTCAAATGGACTGTTGGCACTCTAAATATGAGCTTCTTATTCAATGACATGCTGTGGACATGCTGCCAGAGGAAATTAATCATATAAATCTTGACATTCTTGCTATAAATGGAACCAGTAGAAGGAAAGAAGTTATAGTTGACTGGAACACCTATAGTTCACAGGTATTCACTGAAGAGGCAAAGAATGAATGGGTAATGCCATACTTTCAAAGGCAGCAAGAAACCTCATTTCATGTGATATTTGTTAATCACAAATTACAGTACCGATTATAAGTTATTTGCAAAAAGACCACCAAGAAAATAATTATAGTTTATGTACCAACATTGGTTGAAAAGGCAGAGAATTTCTACGAAGAATCTGATAAGACCCTCTAATTTAAATCAACATAGTCTGATACTTGGTGACTTCAACGTAAAGGAGGGGAAAGGTGAGGATGGGGAGAAATATATGAGAAAGGGGGCAGCTAGGTGGTGCCCTGGATACAGGAGGATTTGAGTTCAAATCCGGCCTCAGACACATAATACTTACTACCTGTGTGACCCTGGGCAAATCACTTAACCCCATTGTCTAGTCCTCCCAAAAAATAAAAATAAAAATAAAAATAAAAGTGAACCACTTGGAAGAGATATGTAATCACTCTAGTTCATCTCTTCCCATCATACAATTCCATGAAAGATCCTGTTTGTCTCAGTTTCCTCATCTGTAACTCAAGGAGAAGGAAATGGCAAACCACTTCTGAATCTTTGCCAAGAAAACCCCAAATGGGGTCATGAAGAGTTGAGACAAGACTGAAATGACTGAACAATAAACAGTCTCAAACTATTTCCTAACTTTTATATTTAAATATTCTAACTGCATCATTGTGTTTATGCATTTCAGTATTTATTGATATATTTGCTTTTCAAAAATCCCGATAGTTCCCAATAAACACCCAAATGAACCCCCTTACAAAGAACATTCCAACTATTTTTTATTGTTGACAGAATAATCCTTTAACTTTGACCATTAATCGTGACCATTTGATTTGACCGGAGTTTGGTTGCTTCCCCATTTTCCTATTTCTGTTCCCAACCCCCTTGAGATAATCTGTTTATCCACTCCTTCCCCCTCCCCCACCCCTAGGCCTCCTCTATTGATTTCCTCCCCAGACTCACTGATGGACTTTATCTTCATCGGTGTAGAGATCAAGGAAAGATCAAGCAGATAAAGCATGTTGCCCCGATTACAACATACATTTGAACGGACAACCTATTGTGCTTAGTACGACAAAATGTATTTCTGAGACATACAGTACAGATGGACAATATGTTGGACACAGAATTGAACAAAAAGAGGACAATAGACTGAATTGCCTTTGGGAAATTGCAAAGTCCCTTTAATAGCCCCAGGCTTCTGATGACAGCAAAGGCCCATATCTTTCATACCAGAATTCTAGTGGTGTTGCTGCATATCAGTGAAACCTGAAATACATTTCAATAATCTCCAAGGAATATCACACAGGTGGCAATGTGAAGGCACATGATTGGTATGAACAGCCTGTAATGTACTATTCTAACAGATAAGGGCTTCTTTATTGGGAGGTTTGGTTCATTGAAGTCACTGGGAGATAAATGCATGAGTTTCTCTGTAAGCAGCTGACCCTGAGATTTCCCAATTATATCCTATGTGAGACTTAACCTTTTCAAGCTCCCCCTTAGCTTTAGGGACCATCCATGTTAGTTCTAGAGGTATATATTACGGTTTACATTTATGTGCTCTCCAATGTATGTGTGAAATAAATGAATGAACAAATGAATAAGACATTTGTTAAGCACTTAATATGTATCAAGCACTGTGAGATACAAATAGAAAATCAAGAGGTCTCACTCTCAAGGAGCTTATTCTAGTGGGTGAAATAAGACATACAGAAGGTCTTAGCTGTAAGTCATATAGAAAGTCCCACAGTTCTTAGGGTAAAGAAACAAAACAGATAGTTATACAACATCTCTAATGTCATTTCCACTGATAGATTATCAGTTTCTGATGTTGAATTATTTGATTATGCCAAGGGCTTTGATGACAAGAACTCTCCTTTCTAGGTCTTCAGTACCTATGGCTTTAGCACTTGTAGGAGTAGCCTAGGAGAATAATTATGGTATCTCTCTCTTAATGATGGGAAACTGAAACAGGGTCCCCATGTCCACTCATCTGTCTCTTATCTCATTTAAAAAATCAGAGACTTCTTTCCAAATTAATATCCCCAGGTAGCATTAATCACACAAACAAGGATGTAGGTGGCGGACAGGTTTTTGCTTTTATCAGATATGTGGACATAAGTAAAGGGGTGCCACTGGGAAGCAAACAATGTAAGCAATGACCACTTTTGACTAGCAGAGACTTTTAACTAGAGGGACAGAAGAGATCCCAATCTCTCCCTCTGTCTCCTCCTCTGCCAAATCGAGCAGAAAAGAAGGTAGGGCCAATAGCAAGCAGTTCACCTGGGAATGAGACGAGGTTTTGCCCTTTACCAGGCTTCCAGAAAAAGCATAACACTGAGGCAATCCCAACAGTTCAAACCTCACCAAGGCACTGGCCAGCTTTTGTTAATCTGTCCATATCCCATCAGTTTCAATTGTTACCATCCTGCCACAGCCCCTACATGAAAGCCAGAAGAAGTGAGTATGGAGAGAGAAATGCATCCAGAGATCTGTTGTGCACATTTGGTTCTCCTGTACTCTTTACCCACATGGAATCACTTCCAGCTTTTCTTTTCCAGAAGTCTTGATGTTGGGGTACCTAAGTAGTGCAGTGGATAGAGCTCTGGCCTTGGAGTCAGGAGGACCTGAGTTTAAATCTGGCCTCAGATACTTGACACTTACTACCTATGTGACCCTGGGCAAGTCACCTAACCCTGATTGCCTCACCCTTCCCCCCCCCAAAAAAAGAAGTCTTGATGTTAAGTAAACCATCATCAAACTGGTAAACTCTGATATAGAATTCGGCCATTTTCAGAACCTTGAGATTTCTATGGGCAACAGCATGGGAGCTAAGGGGTTACATACCAGTGAGGAACTGAAGAATAATGAAACTAAAAGATGTCATCATGGAACTGTATGATGGGAAGAGATGAACTAGTCACATGGTGAGGGTGACAGATGATAGGTGGACAGCCAGAGTGCTCCACGGGTACCCTAGAAATGTCAGGAGAAATAAAGGGAGGCCTTCAGAACATAGAGTAGACTACTTGTGGTGAACTTACAGGAGGACGTGGGAAGGCCTGGATGTGTTTTAGTCTGCACTGTGGGCATGAGCTCCCATCCATCTGGGTAGCCTCATGGCAGCATTACCTGTGATGACAAAAAGCTAGGCACAATGATTGGGGAAATGACTGAACAAACTGGTGTATGAATGAAATGGAATATTACAATTGCACTAGGATTGAAGAATATGAAGAATTAAGAGAAATCTAGGAAGGCAAAACCAAAAGAACAACATACACACAATCTCTACACGGATGAAGATAAAGTCCCTCAGTGAGTCTGGGGAGGAAATCAATAGAGGAGGTCTAGGGGTGGGGGAGGGGGAAGGAGTGGATAAACAGATTATCTCAAGGGGGTTGGGAACAGGAATAGGAAAATGAGGAAGCAACCAAACTCCGGTCAAATCAAATGGTCACGATTAATGGTCAAAGTTAAAGGATTATTCTGTCAACAATAAAAAATAGTTAGAATGTTCTTTGTAAGGGGGTTCATTGGGTGTTTATTGGGAGCTATCGGGATTTTTGAAAAGCAAATATATCAATAAATACTGAAATGCATAAACACAATACTGCAGTTAGAATATTTAAATATAAAAGTTAGGAAATAGTTTGAGACTGTTTATTGTTCAGTCATTTCAGTCCTGTCTCAACTCTTCATGACCCCATTTGGGGTTTTCTTGGCAAAGATTCAGAAGTGGTTTGCCATTTCCTTCTCCTTGAGTTACAGATGAGGAAACTGAGACAAACAGGGTTAAGTGACTTGCCTGGGGTTACACAGCTAGTAAGCGTCTGTGGCTGGATTCAAACTCAGGTCTTCCTAACCCTAGGCCCTATGCTCTTTTCACTGTGCCACCTAGCTGCCCAGTTTGGAACTACACTGTACAATTTCCTGAAGCATAATAATGAATAATAATAATTTACATTATAAAATCCATTAAACCACTTTACCTACAGTATCATAGACTTTAGAGCTGGAAATGACCTCATTTTGCAGGTCCAAGAGGTTGTAGCTTGCCCATGACCACGGTGCAAGGCTCAGGGATTGAATCTCCTGACTCCAGGTTCTATGTCCTTACCACTATACCATGTTGCCCTAAAACAGCCCTGTGAAAAAGGTACTATGGGGGCAGCTAGGTGGTGCAATGGATACAGCACCAGCCCTGGATTCAGGAGGACCTGAGTTCAAACCTGGCCTCAGACATATAACACTTATTAGCTGTGTGACCCTGGTGGGCAAGTCACTTAACCCCACTGCCAAAACAAACAAACAAAAAAGGTACTGCACGTATTATCATATCCATTTTTTTAAGTGAGAAAAAGTGAGCAAAGGGAAGTGACTAGCCCAAGGTCACTCAATTACATGCCAGGATTCTTCTGACCCCAATCAAGTCAATTAATCTACTTGGACCTTGGTGTTCTCCTCTATAAAATGAGGTTAGACTAGATTATCTCTAAGGCTCTTTCCAGCTCTGATATCCTATGAATTAATGACTCTACACATCCCAAATCCAGAGCTCTTTCCACTGAGCTGCATTGCCTTTCTTCTGGTTCAAGTGCCTAGACTGGAACAGGAAAGGTGGGACACAGTTCTAGAGCTTTCTAAACCTATCCCTAGCTTAATCAGTAATGCCAATCCTCATCCAGAATTCCTGTGACTGACTCTTTTCAACTTCCCAAGGGTCTCCCCACTCTCTCATTCAGCCCAGAAAGGGCATGGGGTAAGGGGATGGGGTGGGTGAAGCTTGTTTCCCTAATGTGTATTGAATATATGTGAGGGTCTGTGTGAGACGGTGATAGGATCTGGGCTGGGGAGGGAGACTGCGAGACTATATGGGAATCGAAGTATTTGTGTACATTCTCTGTATCCATGTTTGATGGGTCTTGTGTTGTTGATAATGTATGTGTGAGCATATTCTCTCCCCCCCCCCACGCTCTCATACACACTGCACAATTAACCACAGAACCAATATGGATGTTCCACATTTGCCAACACAACCCGCAGTGCACACATCGTGACACATCCCCACCCATAAGCCATGCCAAGAAACACATGCATACACAGTGACACCAATGACACACATTCCCCCCCTTCCCTGGATACATCCCCTCAGCCCCCACAAAAAAATACCAGCTGCATGCTGCCTCAATATGTATGTCCGGAGGGAGTGGGAGGTTTTTTTTGGGGGGAGACATACACATCACATCATCAATGAAGCTGACTCCCTCCCCCCAACTCATCAGTGCCCTCCCCTTCCCTTCTGTCTGGCTTCTCCCTTTGCCTTCCCCCCTCTAAGTCAGAGCCTTCAAGTCTCTATCCTTTCTAGCCTTCCCTCCAAGAGCCCTCCCATCCTTCCCCTCCTCCCCCCCAATTAAAAATTCCCTCAGTCACCCTTACTGAGACTGACAGGCAACAGCCAAAGTAAAGCAGGGGGATCCAGAGAGACGGGGATAGACAGAGAAGGAAATAGATGTGGAGAGAGAGAGGAGAGGAGGGAGGGAGAAAGAGAGAGAGAGAGAGAGAGAGAGAGAGAGAGAGAGAGAGAGAGAGAGAGAGAGAGAGAGAGAGAGAGAGAGAGAGAGAGAGAGAGAGAGAATAGGCGGGCAAGGAGAAGGAGCTGCGACCGGAGAGATGCTCTAATCTCCATGGCAGTGCTTGGAGCAGGCAGAGGTAAGAAGCCGACCCTCTTCCCTAGGCTCCCCACTCCCATTGCTTTCTCATCCCACTGCTTCCTTTCCCCTTCCCCGTCCCTGAGTTCCCCTCCTCCCCTGGCCACCTGCTGTTCCTAGCACTGGGGGTGGGGGTGGGGGTGCGGATTCCTGACCTCTCTAAAGAACATAAGAACACAGGGGACTTCTTAGCTTCCCATCCCCACACCCTGACTTGCCATCCCTTTTCCCCCTCCCCACTCTGTCCTTCACCTTCTCCTCTCTGTCCTTCATCCTCTTTCTCTTCCTTCCTTCCTTCCAGCTTTTCTTTCTCCAAATGTGCCCCCTCCCCTCAGGGGAGCCAAGGGAGAGAGAATGAGCAAGGGTCTAAAATGGGGAAAAAGGCAATAGAGGGGGTACTTCTGCCCAACTCTGGTTGCCCCACCCCCCTGGTTAGCTATCACCATAGCAACTCAGATTACTGGGCTCCAAAAGGAAAACAAAAAGGGGGGGTGTGCTATGACCTCATGGAAGGGTGCAGAAAAGGGGCTGAGGGCTCCTCCATAAGGAATGTCCTCCACTTTTGGTTTTTCTGCTTTTGTACCTTTCCATTTCACCTCTCCCAATCTCTGTATGTCCCTTCTGACACCTCGCTTGGACCCTCTCCCCTCCTTACTGTGTTCCTCTGATTTACTCCAACTGCCTCCCTTGGGCTCTGTAGCATCAATAGCCTCATTGCTTTTGCAGCCCCCCACCCCCACCCCAAGAGGAGAGAGCCAAGGTCACCTAGTGGGGCCCCAGATTTTATGTCTTTAGCTCCTTCCCAAAACTCCCTTAGCAAGAGGACCCTTTAGTTCCTTCTCAGTCTCTGGATCTCCCATCTACTTTCCCCTTTCTTTCCTCCTCCCTTTCCGTAAGCTCTCCCTTTTCTTCTTCTTCCACCTCCACCCACCCATTCTCTATTCTCTCCCTTTCTGGATCATTCTGTTCTGAGGTCAAACAGTTTCCCCTCCTTCAGGTCCTCCTGCCGTCTGCCTTCAATTCCATCTTCCTCTTTCTGGTACTCCCCTAGGTCAGAGAAAGGGAAAAGTTAAGTCTTGAGAAGACAGGAAAGAGATGATAAGTCACTAACCTTAGGAGAATGAAGGGTTTGGAAAGGGATGGAGGATACCTACCCTACCTCACTTCTACCCCTTCCCCCCTTCATTGTCACCTACTATGAACCTCCAGTGGAGCTGAGCTATTTACTGTTCCCCTATATCAGTGAATCTGGGGGGAAATTAATGGAGATGGGGTTGGGTTGGGGGAAGATTGGATAAGGAGACTGTTGCAAGGGGTTTGGGAACAGGAATAGGAAAAATGGGTGAGCTGGGATTCTTGGCAGGAGAACACTGTTGAAGTTAAAAGGAGAGAGGGAAATGGCAAATGATGGAGTGAAGCTGAAATACCATTTTCCCTAGCAGCTTACAGGAGCACCACTGACCCCAGGGTTTCCTTGTAGAGCCAGAGAGATTGACTAAATGACATCTGCAGGTTGCAATCTTTCGTGATTTCAAATGAAGGAAAGGAAGGAAGCTCAGGAAACCAACTGAAAAAAAGGAAGCCCAACCCCTGGCCTACCTGCAGCTCTCTTTACCACAGCAGGTTCTGTCTGCTGAAGACCCCCACACTCATGGAGAGACCCAAAGGAGCCGCAGCCCACTGAGTCTGTTGGAAGACGAGACAATAGGAAGCCAAGTGGGAATGGAAATCAGAGGATCCCACCCAGCGTCCTAGCAAGGGTGCTTTTTCTCCACTCAAGGGAGAGGAAAGACAAGATATATAGAGAGAGGGCTGTCTCTTTTGACCCTTAGCCTTGGAATCCTCCTTCTCCTTTCTACCACAGCAAATGACATCTTAGGGAAGCCATGAAAGACAAGGCAGTGGGGTAGGCCACAGGGACTTTTTTGCCTCATTCTAGGGGGGGAATTGGGAAACGGGGATCATAAGGGTCATGGGGGGCAGCCTCAGTGGGGCTCCTGGGTGAATCCATTCCCCCAACCCCCCAGAACTTAAGGGGGGTGGGGGCAGAGGAAGAAGAGGAGGATGGCTCGGGGCGGGACAGGGGTGGAGGAGGCCTCCCTCCGCTCCAATGCCCTGTCATGGCTGGCCTGTGGAATGCTGGCCCTCCTGGCCAATGCATGGATCATTCTCAGCATCTCAGCCAAGCAGCAGAAACACAAACCCCTGGAACTATTGCTCTGCTTCCTGGCTGGCACCCACATCCTCATGGCAGCAGTGCCCCTCACCACCTTTGCTGTGGTGCAGCTCCGACGCCAGGCCTCTTCAGACTACGACTGGAATGAGAGCATCTGCAAAGTTTTTGTCTCTACTTACTACACGCTGGCCCTAGCCACCTGCTTCACTGTGGCCTCGCTCTCCTATCACCGGATGTGGATGGTCCGCTGGCCTGTCAATTACCGGCTCAGCAATGCCAAGAAGCAGGCACTGCATGCTGTCATGGGCATCTGGATGGTCAGCTTCATCCTATCCACGCTGCCTTCCATTGGCTGGCACAACAACGGCGAGCGATATTATGCCCGGGGCTGCCAATTCATTGTCTCCAAGATCGGGCTGGGTTTTGGGGTCTGCTTTAGCCTCCTGTTGCTTGGTGGCATCGTCATGGGGCTGGTGTGTGTGGCCATCACTTTCTACCAGACACTGTGGGCCCGACCCCGTCGGGCAAGACGGGCCCGGAAATCAGGGGGTAGAGAGGGATCAAGAGGGGGAGGTCCAGGGGGCCTAGGAACCCGGCCAGCATTTGAGGTTCCAGCCATTGTAGTGGAGGATGCCCGAGGGAAGCGTCGTTCTTCGCTGGATGGCTCTGAATCAGCCAAGACATCCCTGCAGGTCACCAACTTGGTCAGCGCCATCGTCTTTCTCTACGACTCACTCACTGGGGTGCCCATCCTGGTGAGATCGGGATTCCACACTCCACTTCCCTCTCCCTACCATCCAGCCTTTAACTTCCCTGTTTAATCTGTCGTTCCCTCCATCTAGAATAGAACCTTCTCCACCCTAAATAGAAGTAACTTTCACCACCACCCCAGTCCCTTCTGTCCCAACCTCCAAGTCTCCATCATACCTCTATATTATGGCTCTGCCTCCCCTCCTCAAGCCCCATCTCTCCACCCCAGTCCTCTTGATCTTCCTCTAGTTAAGCTTCCTATGCTCCTCCTCTTTAGTTTCCTTTCTCCCTGATAGAAGCCCATCCTCTAGCTGTCCCTTAAATCCCACTGTCAGAGGCAGACAACTGGGCTGGAAAGACCATGGCTCTGACCTTTGCAGTCATTCTGATGAGCCTCCTGCCCTCCTTCCCCAGGCAGTGAGCTTCTTCTCACTGAAGTCGGACTCTGCGCCCCCATGGATGGTGCTGGCTGTGCTATGGTGCTCCATGGTACAGACACTGCTCCTGCCCTCCTTCATCTGGTCCTGTGAGCGTTACCGAGCCGATGTGCGCACCGTGTGGGAGCAGTGTGTGGCTATCATGTCCGAGGAGGACGGCGAGGATGGTCAGAGAATGTCTACCCTCTCCACTGCTTACACTGTGCCCTCCCTGCACAAAGAACACTCCTACAGACTCCTAAACTCTGATTTCACTAAATATACAGCTCCTTTGCTGCCAAGTGTCTGTAAAGGGCACTGTATTGCCACCCTCACCTTATTATCCCTCCTTGTCCATCAGTTTTCTCATCTATAAAATGAGGGGGATGGCCCTCTTTTGAAGCTCTGACTTTTCTTGTGCACAAGGTTAGGGTCCATACACTGCACTGTAGCTCCCCCTGTTGGACGCATCTCCATCACTGTATTTATGGTCCCTTCAGCCTTCCCTGCCACCATTCACACTGGGCAATCCTGCTTCACACTAAGTCTCTCAGTTTTGATTTCCAGGCCTTTCTTTTCTCCTCTGTTACTTCTACCCCTTACATGCTCCTTACCCTCCCTGCACAAGATACATCAATTCGAGACCCTCTCTTCTCCTCTCCCTTTACCCGGCTACAACTTCAAGCTCTTTTCTCCTCTGTGATCTATTCACAGCCTACCTTCTTTGTCAGAAACTACACACACACACACACACACACACACACACACACACACACACACACACACACTCACATACATACACACACATATACACACTCACAGCTCCTTTTTCAATCAAAGGGTTGGGGTCAAGAGGGAAGTGGGTATCCAGGGTCAAATCATAAGAACAGGTCTGGGGGAAGCAGGGTGATGGGCGTCCTGGGGACAATGACTGTTGTAAACATTGGGTGGTCTCACAATGGAACCATTACTTTATCCCTTTTTTCTTTCCAAGATGGAGCCTGCAATGACTATACTGATGGACGGGTCTGCAAAATTCGTTTTGATGCTAACGGGGCTGCTGGGCCAGGGGGCCAAGACCCCACCCAGGTGAAGATGCTGAGTGGGAGACACATGCTATTTCCTCCTCATGAAAGAGTCCACTATTTGCAGGTATGGAGCTGAGAAAGGATGGGGTGTTCTAATCTCCTATATAGATCTTTCCCTGTCCTCTTTACCATCATAGCGCAGCATGAAGGACAAGGAAGACCAATAACTGGGAAAGAGAGAGATACTTGGGCTCTGTCTGTCTCCATTTGCCAACCCCTCTCCCCCAGTGATCCAATGGTTTTCTGTATTCCTTGGCCAGGGGTAGGAAGTGAGGTACCACTGACAGTCCTCCTACTACCTGCAGAAGGACTAAAACGTACAAGGTTAGATTGGAGGGGCTTCAGGTGCTTTTCTTGTGTAGGTTCTACTTAGGGCAAGTCACTTCTCTTTGGGCATCAGCTTCCTCATCTGTAGAGAGAAAGTGTCGGCCTGGATGTGTTCTCTAACTCCCTTAAATCCTTGAAACCTAAGAAATCAATAAAGAAAACACATAACTGGAATGGAGAGAAAGAAGGTCGTATTCTAGCCTACTGTGCAGTTGTGTGTGTTTGGTTGTGTGCGTGTGCACATGTGTGTGTGTACACCCATACATGCATGCAATGTAAAGGAGAACTATAGGGGAAACCTACTGAAACTGGTTTTTGAGTTAGTTCTACCAAAAAAAAAAATGCAGGCAGAGAAAGAACGGTGGAGAATCCACACCAATGAAAAGCCCTCACCATCGTTAGGATACATACCTCTCTATTCCAGAAGTTGTCCTATATATTACTCCATGAAGTTCCTCAATATCTCACCTTTCCTCCACCCCAGGTCCCACTGTCCAGACGACTATCCCATGATGAGACCAACATCTTCTCTACTCCTCGTACACCTGGCTCTTTCCTGCATAAGTGGTCATCTTCAGATGACATCCGGATTATCCCATCTGCAAATAGGGAACATGGGGCACTCCGGGGCATGGAAGATGATGAAGAGGAGTCTGGAGCATTGACCAATCTGCATCAATTCCTGGAAAGCAGAATGCTAGGAGAAGGTGGAGGACCTCCAAGGGGCCCCGGCTTCTTCAGAGATGAGATCACTACCTTTATTGATGAGACACCTCTGCCTTCTCCAGCTGCTTCCCCAGGTCCCTCTCCCCGTCGGCCCCGGGCCTCGTGTCTCTTACCCCGTCGTCTTTCCCTAGGGTCCCCTGATACTGGGGTAACTGGAGTGTCTACGGGGCTATATACAGGGCGACGGTGCTCCCTCACTGGAGTTGAGGGGGACTCGCAGGCTTGGGGGGGAACTTGGGGCCCAAACACACCTATATTTCACCCATTGAGCCTGTGAGTCCATGGCGAATCCAACAAACTTAAGAGGAAGAGAGCCTGGGATAGACGTCTCCCTTAACCTAGCCCTGTCTGCAACTAGCCACAGACTTGAACCCAGGACAACTGTCAGCAGCAGACTTAGAGGGGAATGGGGGAATTGGATTTGGGGCATTATAGCTCTGACTACTATGTCTATAAGACTGGACCCTGCTCCTTACTTCCCATCATCCCCAGCCCAATGTATTAAAATCTGAAGTGTTACTGTGGAATTAGTTGCAGCCACTGTGTCCTGGTGGGTAGGGGTGCTGGTGGTCCAAAGGTCAAAGGAATAGCTCACATTTATACAGTGTTTGAAGGTTTTTAAAACCTTTTCCTCACAACTCCCTGAGGTAGGAAGAAAGGACTATGGAGAGACAGATCCAGATCCAGAGACAAAGAGACACACACAATCTCACATACACAGATATTCCTAGTCCCACCTATCAATCATTCAAGTGTGCATATAGGTGCTTTGCAGTTTACAGAGTTGGTTGCTCATAACAACCCTGGTAGGTAAGTGGTAAAAATGTTTTTCATGTTTTATAAATGAGGAACCTTAGAAAGGATAAGTGTCTACTCAAGGTCACAGAGCTATTAAGTGCCTGCCCAGGCACTTAAATTCAGGGGTTCTGACTCCGAGTTCCCAGATGAGTCAGGACCATGAATGAACAAGATCTATATATGTAGGCTGGTTTGTTAAAAGTGGTATGGGGAACTCATTTATATGTATAGGAAAAAAGAAAAAGGTGATGCCTTTTCTGCTTCCACCCCAATTCTATTCTGAGAATCACTTCCCTAGTGAAAGGTCCTCTCATTTGATTTAACAGACTCTGGGATACCACCGTCTGCCCCATTCCGCTGATTACCACTACACCTGGTCAGAGCAAGACTCGACTTCTTTGTCCTAAAGGGCTGCCATTCCAGATGTCTTGGAACCAAGCGGCCACTTCCAGAACATTCCACTGACTTCTGGGATGGCACAGTCTCCATTCCTTTCACTATCCAATTCCTACTCTCACTCCACTGTCCATCTCTCTTAGCCCAAACTCCCAGGACTTGGTGGTTTACTCCTTCCTCCCCATGCCAAACCTCCCAAAGAATGAATCTCCCTCATTCTTTCGCCTGACCCAAGTTCCCTACTTTTTTTTTCTTACATATTTTTGAGATCCTACTCTTCCCTTCTATCCAGTTCTCTTCTCTCTCTCTCTCTCTGCTTCTGTTCTACATCCCTGGGATTCTCTCTTCATTCTCTATTGATCATCCCAAGGGGAAGAGATGTTCTGTTCCACTCCATCTCTCCTTCCTTTTCTCTACCGCCTTGCTTTCTCCTTCTTTCTTTCTCCTTCCCCATCCCCCCGCTTCCTCTCCAGCTCTCTCTCCTTCCTCTCCCCTCCCTCTTACATTCCTCCCTTTCCTCTCTCTCCCTCTCCTGCCGGACCTCCACATCATGCTGTCGCTCCTCCTTCTCCTACTGCTCCTGCCCGCCCGGGGCTGCGTGGAAGCCCCCGGCCTGGCCAAGCTGCCCCGGCTTGCGCCTCTCCAGTCCCCGGACCTGCTGTACGCGGACGGGGTGCGCGCCTATGCCACGGGGGCCTGGGAGCGGGCGGTCGCGCTCCTGCGGGAGGCGCTGAGAAGCAGGGCCGAAGTGGGCCGCGCGAGGCGGGACTGCGGGGCACGGTGCGCAGCGGAGCCGGGCACCGAGCTGCCCCCTGTGCCCTCGAGCGACCCTGGCTCCGACTTGAGCCCAGGGCCCTGGGAAAGGCTGCTCCTCCGCGCCGCGCTGCGCCGAGCCGAATGCGTGAGCCAGTGCGCGGCCCGGAGGCTGGGACCCAGGGGCGCCGCGGGGCACCGGGTGGTGCGTGCGCTCCAGAACGCCTTCCGCCGCCGGGAGCCCTACAACTACTTGCAGAGGGCCTACTATAAGGTGCGGGCAAGGGCTGCGGTGGGGAGCGGCTCGCGTTGTTTTGGAGCGCAGGTTCTCCTGGCGCTAACTGGGTTGGAAGTTCGGTTACCGACCCTGCTCCTCTTCCTGCCTTACCTATGTGGCCAGAGGCAAATCACGGCACCTCTCTGGGCCCCAGTTTCCTCCTCTGTAAAGTAAGCACTTTGGGCTAGATTTTAAGGTTTCTTCCCGCACGAAATCCGATGATCCTTTGAAAAACAAAAGCCAGAGGGTGTAATATTAGAACGACTGTGTAGGGGGAGGCGAGAGCCATTTGAGGATTCCCTAATCCATTCCCCCTGCTGCTCATATTACAGAAGAGGGATGCGAGGCCCAGAGAGGTTATGAGGTTAATTGACTCAAAGTCACATTGGTAGTTAGGAGCAGAACTGGACTTGGAACACGGGTCTTCCGAATCTGAGCGCCCTTTCCACGGCACCACATTAAAACCAATGCAGGAGATATCAATGCATTGATGTCATGTGTAAAACTGGATCCTGTACAGTTGCGTCATCGGAGGATTTTTAGGAGAGAAAGGAAAGGAATGAGGAGCTCAGGCCTGAGAGACCCTCTAGAGGGGAATGTAGGGGGAGGAGTGCCTGGGGGTAGAGGTGGGTGTTGGGAGAGCTAGGATGTTAGAGCAAGACAAAATGAGGGGAAGAGGGCTGGGTGAACGTGTTCCTGAGGATGCAGAAACTGGTGAAGGAGGAGAGAGGGGGTGGAGATGGAAAATACAGTTTCCTGCTTTTTCTGCTTATGTGGCCTGGACTCCTACTCTGCCTAGCCCAGTAGGCCCTCTGGTCCTGCTTTTATACACACTTCGGGGTCCTAAAAGCCTACATGTTCATACGGCATGTGTTCCCAATCGCCTCCCCCCCGCCCCAGTTTACCCCTTCCACTGACCCAAAGAATCGGGAGGAGGGTGACTTCTCACCTTCCCCTACTTTGCCTATCCCACTCAACCTGATACCTAATGGTAATTCTGCAACACCTTGGCCAGCCCAGCTGCCTGCTTTTCCTAATATTTCTTTACCCCAAACCTAGCTTTGAATTAGGAGTCAGGAAGCCTAGGCTCGAGTCTGCTGTGCTTTTGTGACCTTGGCTAAGTCACTTTCCCTCTTTGGTCATCTCTTCTCTCAGTAATAGCTGATTACCTATATGTATATTAATTTAGCTCTTACTACAGCCTTGTAGGAGAAGTCACAAGGTATTCTTATCCTCATTTTGTAGTTGAGGAAACTGAAGTTTGTTGAGGTTAAATGACTTAACCAGTGGTCCCGGCTAGTAAAAGTTGGTGGTGGGATCTGAATCTAGATTTCTCCTGACTCCAAGTCAGAGCTTTAAATGAAGGGGTTGGAGTAGAAAAGGATGGTTTCTAAAATCTCTTTCAGCTCTACGGCTTGTCAACAAGCACTTACACAGGACTACTCCCATAGATGTGGAATGACAATATTTGCCGCGTTAAGATTTATTCAAAATCGGGGAGGGGGCAGTGGTCCTCAGCAAGGGGAAAAGACTGGCTGCTGGATGTATAGGGGCGGGATTCTGCATCTTGGTTTTGAGTAGGTCCTAGGAGAATAGGCACCCAATAGTTTGGGAACCTACCCCAGAGTTGGGATGTGTGGGGCATGGAGGGTAGGCAGTATGATATGTTGAAATAAAAACTGTCTTGATTATAGGATGATGTCCAGCAGGAAGGGACCTAGGAAACTGTTGGAGGGTGGAATGTGTGTTTAGAGAGAGCAGGTATGTTATATGAGGGAACTGCCCCTGGGGTTCCCTCTCACAATGCCCCTTCCATTCCTCCAATGACTGACTCAAAGCTGAAGAAATTGGACCTGGCTGTGGCAGCAGCCCACACCTTCTATGTGGCAAACCCAAAGCACCTCCAGATCCGGGAGGACTTGGTGAAGTATCATCGAATGTCCGGGGTACGGCGTCAGAGCTTCCGGGACCTTGAGAAACCCCTTCACTGGGTGAGTTACGTTCTCCCACCAAGCCCACTCTCTGCTTCTGTAATCTACCCCTTGTCTTGCTCTCATCCTTGACAGACCAGAGTTGTAATAGAAAGATCACTTGGATGGACTGGGAGACAGACAGTGGATCTGGTTTCCAGCCTCAGGTCTGCTACTAACCACCTAAGTGACCTTGGGTGAATCATTTCCACTCTCTGAAGAGTTTGGACCAGGATCCCTTTGAATTTTAACATTTTATGATTCCAAGACTCCAGTCTCCACCTCACATCTCCTTTCCCCCAAGTAAATTATAAAATGGCATTTGCTCCATACCTCCAAATGAAACTTATTTCAGCCTGCTAAGATACTCTTTCCACTGTTTCTAGCTCTTATATCCATTCTATCCTATGTATTCATGCAGGACCTACCTAAACAACAATAGCCTAATATTTGTATATTGCTCACTGCGACCTTGTGAGATAGCTATTGCTAGTATCACCATCACCATTTTGCAAATGAGCAAAATAAAGATCTGGAAAGTTAATAACTTTCTCATGTTTACACAGCTGGACAAAATAGGTGTTGTAGTTAATAGTAATAATAGCTAACATTTAAATGGCAGTGCTAGTCACTGTACTAATGGCTTTACAAATATTGGTTCATCTGATCTTGACAACAACCTCAAAAGGGAAGTGCTATTATTATCCTCAATTTACAATTGAGGAAACTGAGGCAAACTAAGGTTAAGTGACTTGGCCAGGATCACACAGCTAGTAAGTGTTTGAGGCTGGATTTGAACTCAGGTCTTCCTGACTCCAAGCCCAGAACTCTATTCACTGCACCACCATTAGAGGCCCCCAAAAGATGGTACTTAGGACTACAGCTTGAATCCGTGCTCCCTCCCTTAGGTGGCATATGATGAGGGCCTGGAGCTGCTGAAGAGACAGGAGGTAGCAGCAGCGCTGCCTCTCCTTGAAGAGGCCCTTAGGGAGAGCCTGGCCCAGATGGAGAACTGTCGAGCACAGTGTGAGGGCCCAGAGGAGCAGCTCACAGAGGAAGAGGAGAAGGAGGAGGAAGGGGAGGCTCAGCCTGACAGCCAGAGTGGCCTCTATGAGGCCATTGCAGGTTTGAGTCAGGTCGAAGGGGAGGGATGTTGAAACTAAGGCAAAGGAGTGACTGGACTGCTAAGCTAGTGCTGCGTGAGCTTAGGTCCCCTCTTTCTCCCTCAGGACACTGGATCAGAGTTCTGCAGTGCCGGCAGCGCTGTCCTGGGGCTGTAGCCACACGACCTGGCCAGGACTCCCCCATCTCGGACTTTCTGCCCATCCAGCTG